CACACACACATATATATATATAAGAGATACGTATACGAAGTTTACCTTGCTTACGAAGTATGTATGTACACGTTGGTATAGAGGTAGGTAATCTTCTACACAATGATAAGCGTACACATGCTAGACCTATGAGCCTGTAAGACATTTTGGACGTTTTAAACATATCATAAACATGTCTGTATGTAGACACATGTACGTACAAGTGTAGACATACAGTCATAGCTTATTATGAGGGACAGGTCACTCGGACGTCTGGATCCACGTCCTCCAGGCAGTTGACCATGCTCAGGAGCGCCTGGGATAGTATAGTCTGTTATAGTATACTATTTACGATATTACACTAGAGTATAGTATAACATAGCATATTATAGGAGCGCCTGGATGTCACCCTTTGGTGCAATCTTCGGCAGGACCTCCTCAGCTTGCATAGCTCTGCAAACCCGAAGGGTAGCAAACAAAACATGACGCCATGCCTGCGGAGGGTAAAAGGTACGATAAGGTATACACTGGTATACACCTTCTTGGATATGTGTTTTTAAGCTTACGGCCAAAAGGAATAACCTGAGCTGAACATCGCTGCATCCCAACATGTATTCGGCAAAGTGTCGATCGACTGGCACCTCAGGGCATCTACCGTCACAGAGGAGCAGTGGCAGCAAAGTATACTTGCATCAAAGGCAGGACGGGCACCGCTGGTTCCCATTCTTCATAGAACAATAGATGGATTCTGAGTGATGACCGGGTGGGGTTCAAGTATCCTCGCAGCCTGATGTCACGGTCTGCATCGTGCAGACAGGCGATGGCAACGGCAGCAGCACTTTCGTCCCCAACTTCTGCAACATTTGCCATGGCCTGTGGAAGGTCAGGGTGCTTTCGAGGATTCGGATGGACTTCAGGCACCGAAGATTCGCTTCACTGGTCGAGGCTTGTTTGACGGCATCGCTAAGGCTAAGACTGAACGAGCCTTCCTGCTACTATGTAGCTGCTGATTCGCTGATGCAGACTCCCGCTTCGTGCGACTTGCGTCGCTCCGCTAAGCGGCTGATTGCGGCTGCGCACTGCAGGGAGTGCGCAGCAGTACATCTGGAAAGCAACAACAGCACACACACCTCATAGACTCCTTCAGTAACCCCTTGGCCCCAAACCCCCTGATAGCCCTTTGGCAGTCAAAACAAAACTGATTTAACCCACGTTGCAAGGGCCGAGACTACCTATACTACCATCCGTAAACCTGCAGCACTTCAACATAGTTGTTCTCATTGATTCTCTTTGGCAATTTGCTGTCGAAGCCGTGGCGTTTAGCTCTTTGGTCGGTGTGCTTGTCAATTCTTTTGCGTCTGCTCCCTTCAATCACACCCTCGCCTTGTCTGCCAGCGATGCATGAATCCCCTCGTAATTCGGAAATCTCTTTTGTTTGCCATAGGCAGTTGCTTCTCGTGGCTTGATGCTAAGACCGTGGGCACAAGGAGCGGCTGTGTTCTCATACCTGCGCTGTGCTACTCCGTGCGAGTATGACTATCTTTCACTCGCATGCTGCCCTCATCGACGCGCCACACGAGCCCTCGTCTGAAACCTCAACCGGAGCTTTGCAAACGCTCAATGCTCGCCACACCCTTGCATGTTCTCGGCCTTCAACGCGAACTGTCGCGCCACCCAGTCGCTGGAGTCCAGCAGCGAAGCGCAGGCGTGGACAGCCGTCCTGCGGCCTCACACGCAACAGCACGTCGCTCACTTCGAGAGAGGTTGCGAAGAAGAAACATGACAATGAGCACTTCAATGATTATGGTACTGCAGCGATGATGGTCGTAACAAGTGACACAAAATGAAGATGATAGCAGGCAAGGGCTACTGTAAACAAACGGAAATTGCGAATATAAGGTTCCGGTGTTGCCACCACAACGGGCTACATTCAGACCATTGGAAGGCAATAGCGCAAACACGGCACAAACTATCACATACAACAGCGCAATAGCAGCATCAATAACAGCAGCGATGACATCAGAACAACCAAAACAATACCAACAAAAGAAACCCGAGAGTCCACTACAACACGAACATACAACAAATCCAGCAATGCAGCGCAACGCCTGCACCACCACAACCACCACCACCGCCGCCTCCAACAGCAACTAAAGCACACCAACAGCAGCAACAACCCGAACCTCGAACAACAAAAATAAACAATGCACGATCAATCACACAAAACAGTAGAAATTCAACAGCGTCAACGCAGCAGGTTTGCATTCTGGGTTTCGGACCCTGGATTCTGCAAGAAACTCTGTGGTAGTGGCATGTGCACACATCTAAAGGATGTAGACCTGGCATTCTGAATGCAGCCAGAAGCTTGGACAAAAGTGTGGCCACAGCAACTTCGGTCAGCCACGATTTGAAAGCAACAGCTGCCTTCTTCAGAAGCTGCCACCGCGACGGAAAGCGCTTCCACAGCAGTTTCCCTCGGCAAGACTAGCGCAGAACCCAAACCCCAAACCCTAAACCCTGAACCCTAAACCCTAAACCATCATTAAAACCATCATAATCATAATACCATCATGAGAATAGCAAAACGTCCACTCGGGTGGCAGACGGAAGGCATGGCCAGCCTACTACTACTACTACTTCTACTACGACGGACATATGGGGGTTTCCGATAATTAGGGGTACCTTATTTTGGGGTCCTTATATTAAGGATCTTATTATTTAGGGTACTATATTAGGGTCCCCTATTTTCAGAAACCCCCATATAAGTCTGACAATGTTCGGTATAGTACAAATAACATCTACAGCTACCGCCACCACTGCTACACGTCTTGGTTGAACACTGAAAGGGCCCGGCCGGATGCGCCGGTCACGATGCCGCAAGAGAGCGACCAGCTTCCAAACAGCCGACGAATCACCTGAAAAGGTTGTCAAAATCATACAGGTCGGTAGATAGATAGCTAGCTAGATAGATAGCTGGATAGCTAGATAGAGAGGTAGATAGACAGCTAGACAGACAGATAGATAGAGAGACACATCGATCCATGTCTCGCTCCTTTTGTCTCTCTGCTCGTGCACACTGACTACATCTGCACTTCTGGGATGTGTAATTTTAATAGCAACTAGAATCAAGAGAGTTCTTAACACACACACACATAAGACACCGTAAATGAAAAACATACGACCTTTCAGCAAACCGAAACGACACTAATGCCAGATGTGCGCTTTAGTTCATCGCTGAGTCCCTGAATCTGCCATCTCCCCTCTCTCTCCATGTAGACATATGTGTCTTTTTATCTTACATGTGCACGCATACATACATATACATATACGTAAATACGTACATGCGCGCATTATGTGCCCGCAAGTTGTCCGTGTGCACGTACGTACAAGCATAAAACTACGTACATAGATACACCACATCCACATGCGTTCGCCCCATATTTGTGTCAATCCTGACATGCTCTTCCGAGCAAGCTGCTGCTTGACAGCAGCAAACGGCAACTCCCTCAGCACTGGTTCTTGCAAGCTTCATACGGCAAACGAGATGTTGTGGGTGTTTGCGCCACATGCCAACAGCCACAAGCACTTGCAGGTAGTCCGGCAACAGCTGCCCTGTGCGTTTGCAACATGTCACAGCTACAAGTAAGTCTTACAGCCTTACAGAATCTGCAGTCTTCCATTGACCGTCCGCCAAAGCAGAGACCTCCTGCGGTGTTTCTTATATACCATTCGGTATTCATTGGTCGATGCAGGAATCGGCACGCCTGGCTCCACGAGCGCTGGCAATGCGCAGCTCAATGCCTGCGCCCAAACGCCGCTGCTTCATAAAGCGAATCAATCAAGGGTTTGTGATAAAGGTTGGCACTGCCGGCGAACTAGCTGATGCATTAGTAAGGGATGCAGGGCATACGGCTCGTCAGCGAAAAGGGCGCTCGATTTCGAAGGACCACCTCGTGCCGGACATCTTCCTCAGGTGAAGATAAGCCAGCCAGAACTCCATCGATTGCACGCTCGTTGCCTCAATGGGCAGCGAGACGGCGAGACTTAACCCCCTCCAGCGATTATGCAGTTCCTGTTTACGGCTCACAGATCTTTGGCGCACACTTCCGGATGAGGAACCAAGCCTCGCTCTGCCACATGTGGCAAGCTGCCGAGGGCGTGGCACCTGGGCACGCGGAATGCCCTCAAGTTGCCATTGAAGGAGGCTAATGCCAGGGCCTTCATAAGCTGAATAGGGCCTTGGGGGTGCATTATACTGTACTTCTCTTCAGGAACCCGAAGGACTGACCCTAAACCCTAAACTGATATTGGTAACTCTTTAGGCTGCCGTATTTATTACGGCTTTATGCGGCAGGGGGCCCTCTGAGCTTTCGCGAGCCTCCTCGGGCCGAGAAAACTTGAGGCCTGCTGTTCCAAAGTCCCACAGTGATATAAGGGCCTTCATAGTTAGTACAGGGTTTTGGGGTTATACCTTATTAAATCCGGGGATGGGCTCCCCAAAATCGTATTACACTAATTGTTCAGGCTTGCAAAGTGTTTGGCCATCTTCACCAGGGCACTTCACCTGCATTGTAGTCGCATCAGCCACCAGGGAAGCGATCTCCTGGGAAGCAAAGGCAACAGATGCAGGACCCAAGGCGCCAGCGCCTCAAGACCTTACCGTTTTCAGCCCTCCACCTCTTGAGCGGGCCAGTCTCTATAGGGCTTGAGAGTTTCATGCACGCCCCCAAGTTTCTTCAAGGGTTATCCATCCCGGTCTGAGGCTGTGTGCAGGCCGAACTGCCTCGATGACGTGGTCTTTGCCCTTTCCCAAGGCCACGAGGGCGTCGATGGCAGCAACATGCAACTCTGGGACCTCAGTGGCGGTAGGCTCTTTAGCGCTTTGGGTTTAGTTGTCGGGGCCTCTTGAAAGCACGGCTCTCAAGGCCAACAGGGCTAAGAGTGGGGCAACAAGCTACATTCTGCATGGTTGGTCACATGTAGTCGTGCGCTTGTGCATGTATGTATACACACACATGTATATATATATATATATGTAGATGTAGTATGCTGACTGTCGCTGGGGTGTTGGTTTCAAGCTTTAATTAGATGCGAGCCAAACGGCTGCGCCCGAACCGGACACTAAGACCTGAATCGCAGAAAGTGCATGTATGTATGTATGTATGTGGGTGGTTGTCAAAATTGGGGTCCCTTTTTGGGTCCTTATTATAATACGGCACCTATTATTTAGGGTACCCCAAAAGGGACTACCCATGTATGTATGTTTGTGTTTGTGTATATGTGTGAGGTTTCACGTGCACGAGGTGTCAAAACACTTCACGATCTATCTTCTGAAGCCCAGTAACTAAACCCTGTGAAACCACAAAATCCCACAAAACCCTGGCATAAACCCCCCTTATCATCCTACGAAACAAGCGCCATCCAACACCCCTATGAAACCGTTGTAAAAGCCTTAAAATCACTCCCACTGCTATGTTTACGTGGCTCTGCTTAGGCAGTGGCGGGGATCTCCAGCCCTTGCAAGGCGGCACGAAGTGCACCTTACGACAGTATAGAGCAACGTTTAGGGTTTAGGGATGTTGAGACTGTTGGGGTTTTAAGGTTTTGGGGTAAAGGGATGTTTCGGGTTCAGGATTTCAGGGTTTGAGGTGTAAGGGAGTTTAGGTGGGTTTTGGGTTCCGGCTCTCACAGCTGGGACTAGCTGGGCGAGGTGTCTCGGCATCATTGGTTCATCAAGCAGCCACACAAGCGTACTTGAATCGTTCGTTGAAATACATAGTCACATAGAGCCAAAGGCACAACAAGGATTGTGTTGTTTTTGCCTAGGGTGGTTGGGGCTCAGAGGAAAACTCAAGGGAAGTAAGTACATGAGGGCAAAAGGACACTTACCGTCCTCCTGAGTATACGGTTACAATACAATGAACCACGCGCTCAAATCCCAAGTTGTTTAAGCCGCAACTAAAAACTGTAAAGGCTTAACAGCAAGCCACTGCGAAAGGTGAGCACATCGATCCATCTCTTGCAAAAGCATTTTTCAGCTTCTGAAAAGAGCACACGCGTGTGCCGAAAATGTTGCTGAGTTGCTGAAATTGGGAAACGTCGAAATGCGGGAGTGTCGCATGTGGGACGCACGAGAATGAAGCTGGATCATTTGCGATGCGCAGTAGTGCTTTGGGCTTCAATTTGGAGGGCCAGTGGCTGACACTCCCGTTGCGTGCTGCAGTCGCCTCTGGCAAGCGCAGCCGTTTGATGCTGTCCAAGAGCTCATTGAAATCACTGGCATTCATGGTCGACATTCAAGCCCTGCAGTTCTCATAGTGCTCTGTGCAGCATGCAAGTGTGGGATTGAATTGGCACGGCTGTATGGCCGACAACACAGAAAGGCTACTTCAAACTTGCACTGGTGCCCATGCACCGGGTGACGTCTGCATCCCGTCTCTTGACGGCGTCACTACGTTGATGTAAGATGAGCGACTAGTTACTAGTGCCACGGAACGGACTGGCATTCGCGGAAAAGCCATAATGTAGGGGCCTTAATATTTTAGAATGGGGTTCTGGGGGTTTCCTTATTATTATTATAGTATAATATACCCCCAAACCCTATTCTAATTACTAAGACCCCTACATTAATACAGATTATAGTTATAATGGGTCCCCAAAACCCTATTCTAATTATTAAGGCCCCTATATTAGAATCGAAAGCAGAGGCGGAAGAGCAGCTTCTCTCGAGGCACCTTTAAAAAGCAGCTGCTTTCATCCAACCTCGAGTAAGCTCCTCAAAAGTAAGGCCAGGGCACCTCGCAGGGCAACAAGAGCGTAGGCTCAAATTTCTGCAACCATGGAACAAAACTATACAAAATTCGAATCATTCTAATCTAATCCAATATGGTTCTGGCATGTTCTGGCATGGGTTGTGTAGTATACCAGAAGAAAAAATACTCTGACAGCGTGAAGCATGCACCAGCATCGAAGGCAGGCGTGCCTGGAAGACTTAGATACAGGCAACCTCCGCTGGCGAAGCTCAAAATATCTGAAAATGTTGCCTACCACAGCCGCTCAGATGCGACCCAAAAAAAAAGGCGCTGGGTGGAAACAAACCCGTGGCGCAAAATGGATGACTCACTGGCCATGCCCTATGCCGACTATGACCTTCAAAATCCAAGAGTCTCAAAACCCGGAGCAGAGCACTAAAACATGCTTGTTCAGCACGGGCTTTGGGTGTATTCCGGCAAGCTGGGCTCAAGGTCTACATGAGACACCAGCAGACTTGAAACTGAAACGCCAAACCAAGGTGCCATAAAGTCCGGTGTGGGCGATCGCCGGCCTGCCATTGCCTCGCCTCGCCATTTCCTGGGTTCTGGTTAAGGGACATAATTTAAGTTACTTTCATTATTGTTATTATTAACTATCTATCCCTATTATGGTAACTTAGATTAAATCCCTTAAAAAGAGCCCAGCTTCCAATCGATCTTCGCATCGGGCTTGTAGGCCAGCCTGCCCAGTAGGGGAGAGAGGAAGAAAGGTGTACATAGAGTCTACACACATTGCATCTCATGGGTGTTATCTGCATATGTGCATAGATGTATATACATATATGCATAGAGCAGTTACGAAACTCACATTCGTCTTGTCTTGAAGCAGCAATGTCTGCACGCAACACCTTTATTATTGGTCTAAGGCACGTCTTACTTACCCGGTGGCTGTGACATAGTTTAAACAAATCAAGTTGAAATCAGTCTCGCCGCAGTCAGCAGAGAAAGGATGCTCGTGCTAGGCCTACGTACACAACATGGGCACAGCGCCGCCGGAAATTCCTTGCCCGCGAAATTTTTCACCTGGTAAACAAAAAAGCTGACTACAGACCGACTCTAACTAACACTTACAAACACAATCAGATATATCATAACCTCAAAATCTTTTTAGGTTTGATTATGAGACGAAAACGCTGGGCGAGATTGATACCTTTACAGGGAAATTCCTCAATCTCAATCTTCGCCGGAAGAAATTGGAGCAGTGTTTCCACTTCTTTCTCGGAGCTTCCGTTTGTATGGAAACCGTTACGTGCTGCTTCTCTTGACCTTGAGTTGGAACTTGTAAGAGCAATCTCATGTCTCTATACAGAGAAGTCACCCTCCTAATTCTTGCGAAGCGGCTACAAGAGTGACAAATCCTACTAGGACAGCGAGTGGCTGGCAAATGAAAGTAGCTCATCCCACACCTTAGTGGGAGATCCACGCGTTGTTGTTTGAGCCCTTGAGGAGAGTCCTTACAACACCATAGGCGCTCTCCATTGAAGCTAGGTAGGGTTCTCGTGTTAA